TGGAGATAGAAATGGTATGCTGCTATAGATGACATTCCGAAATCACCACGGGGTTTCAGAGCTCTCAGGCCGCATGAAATCTTGCTATGGCCTACCAACCGCTCTAGTGTGAGGGGAAAAAGGAAGCAGGTCGAATTTTGCCCATTGTTCTTGGGGGACTTTGGGAACAGACTGGAGGTTTGGTGAATGTCTGTTGGTGTTGGATGGTCTGGGCTGATGCCTGCAGTGACTTGCCCTGGCCTGCAAACCAGTTGTGCCTGAGAGCTGCTGTTCGGACAGAGCTTTGCAGATGCAGCATGAACCAGCTTGTTTGTCCGTGGCCTGGCTCTGAATATTTGGCTGTGGCGTCCATGTGGAGCACACGAGTGTATTACGACGGATGATTAGAACTTGATGCCATTGTATCCCAGCTATCAGGATAAAGACGGAGATAGTAAGGAAAAGGTCTGTCTGGGACAAACATCTTGTTAGCCCTTGGCTGAATTGAGTTTCTGTGAGAGGGACTGTGTGGAACAGGCTAGGACGATGAAGATTTACAGAAGGGAGTGGTTGGTTTTACTCATTACCCATTGAAATAAGCAGAAAAAGCAAAGCTTTTGTGTTTGAGGATTTTTTTTGTTTGTTTGGTTTTTTTACTTTTCAGCTTTGAGTTTTTGATACTGTTCAGACGTGATTGCTATCTGTGTTGCAGGCAGCTTATTACAGGGGGAGGGTTATATCCAATGGCCAGATAATGGATGTGGCTTACTGAGCAAGAAAAGGCCCTTGTGGTGCATACTGTTCCTTTGGATTTCTTTTCACAATTACTGAATAATTTTAACACCACAACGTTCACTCAGTGGCTTTTCCAGAAGCCTGAATAGTAGTTTTTACTCAGAATTTAAATCATGGAGTCTAACCCTCAGGAACACCTTTCTGGGTCTGCTGCTTTCAAACCAGTGCCCGAGTACCTCCAAATAACTCCTTTCCCAATCCCCAGCCACCTCTTGTCCCATTTATTGACAAAATCCATGTGGAAAATATACCTCAACCCCTAGCCCTCCTGTGAGCTGTGGCTTATACTGCTTTCTCTCAGCAACTGGATCGTTGCCCCTAAACTATGTGTATTTTCCAAAGTCTTTTCCACTGTATGTTTTCTGTAGCCTTGAGTTTCATCTTTAAACTGAATGCTGTATATATTTTCCATCGTTGTGGAAGAAGTGAATTAAACATCTAAGGAGGACAGCTTGTAAATGCAAGTGATCAGAGAGAGTTTTACCTTTTGTTACAACTTAACTCTCTGGGTTTTGAAAATAAAAAAAAGTTGAAAACTTGAGACAAACATGAAAGGCATCCTAATTGGAATTTTGTAAGATTTTTTTTTTTTTTAAGAACTCATTTGCCATTAATAGTGAGGACATCTCAAGCTCTTAAATCTCCATATTTTTTCCCATTCTTATCTCTTTCCTCAACCTTATTGTGAACTCGCTGACCTGCTGAGGCCTGGATTTTCATATCCATAGTTTGAAGACAAATCCATCTAGTTTGACTTCCTGTATACTCTAGGCATTTGTGTCTCACTGAGTTGCCTGAATTTTTCCTTCTAATACTGTGTATTTGGGGATAGCAGTGAGAAAGGGCAGCCAGACTTGATCTGAAGGTAGGAAGATGCACTGCTTCTGGCACTTTTTAATTAAAACAAACCAGGAAGGGAGGGTGTGGGAGGGAAAGGTGTCTTGCTTTCAGTTTGCCTTTGGGTTCCAACAACTGGTTTGTTAGGGTATTCTGTGCTAGATTAAAGAGGCCTCTAATAACTGATAGTCCCTCCCTGTGAGGGTTTTTGTGTGTTGTAATTGCCTTACCTCTCACATTATTTTTAAGAAATGAAGCCAACAGAGCCCTTGAAGATTCTCAGTATAAGATACTTTCTTGGCGTAGTTTCTGTGGCTTTCTGCACCCTTTCCAGTGTTTCTGTATTGCTTGGTAAAGTGCAGCCACCCCAACCACACGCTGTCTCATTACTGATCATGCCAATGCCATATGCTAGAAGTTTTCCTTGTCATTTTTATCTGCAAACCCTTATATTTTTTTTTGGTGAAGGTACAGTCACCTGCAAAGCCAATTTAAGCCAACTCCTAAGAGTAGGCTTTTCATAAATAATTTTTACAAATCTCTTAGAAGTGGTATACAACTTTCCCCCTCTTCATTTGCTTGCTCAAGTGCCCTAAGGAATCTGTAAGCCACAGAATAAACACCATTACCACATGAGAGGTAAGTTCTCTTAATTCCAGTTTGTAGAGCAATTCCTTTTGGTCATAGTGTGACGCTAGAAACTAGCTTTAAGTGCCTGTGTATTCTGACCTCTAAATCCTTGTCCATCCTGGTGTGAGTGAAGGTGTCTGACTTTGCATTTTGTTGAATGACTGCATCTCCTATTGGAACTGCCTTGTGCACACTGACAGGCCCATATTCCTCTCTCTCTGCCCTGGCTGCTGTATTATTTACCAGTCCAAGATCTTTAGCAGTACTGGTTTTGTCTTCTGCCAGATCCTTGGTGAAAATACTGAATGGAGTTTCCTACAGAGGCATCTTCCCTCCATGGTTATGATTTTTCAGTAATTGATGGTATCCTCTGATTATTGGATTCTTGGTCTGTTTAATGGATGCATTTTGATAGTGTATAGCATTGATTTAAAAAAAAAATACATGTATCAGCATGTTGTAGGTTACATCTGAGTGGTCAGTAAACTTCATCTATTCTCTCACTGGCAGAAGCTGATACAAGGGTAGTAATCCAGTCAGGTGAGCTTTATGAGCCGGTCTTTCTCCCACCATCTTTCCTAATTTATTGATGTAGGTTTTACCTATGGAAGTAGTTTTCCTCTGCTTGGGTTGAAGGAAAGAGCGGATAACTTTGTGATGGGGCAGTGTCCCGCAGGCTGGAGACCGAAGGGAAAGGTTACGTGGCGAAGTCTGAAAGAGAGCCTTAACCATACTGTTGTCCTCAGGGTTTTCTTTATGACTAGCTTTAGGCAGGCTCATGCTGCATCTGTGCTGCCGTGCTTGGTACGTGTCCTCTGGAGCTCTGCTCTGTCTCTCCCCAGATGCAGCTGAGGGGGACTCCAGGCCTTTCAAAGCTCCTTCAAGAAGGATCTGTGTACGATGAGAACGTACACTGGATTAAATGAAGAGCAATGTCGTGCAGACTCAAAATGGCTTTCTTTGTCAGATCTGAAAGCTTTTGTCCTTGTTGCTGTGGCTGTAACTCATCACAGGCAAACTTCACTGCAGAGTGAGCTGTGTATCTCTGACCTGGCTGCCAAAACCAACTTGTGTAGGCTGGCACTCTTAATAAAGAAGAATAACTGTGCTAAGTACGCAGGGTAATTATTCAGAGTGGCATGTGAATGATTGGAGATCATTCATGAAGCTTTCATGCTTGTGCTTGTGTCCAGGTCTTCCATGTTTCCCTTTAGTAAAGCTCTCTTCCCTCTCATCCCTCTTCGCCACCTCTCGGCAGCCTAGCATTTGTGCCTGGCTTGCATTTTTTGCCGTGACATAAAAGCAATTGTCATAGAAAAATTGCTGCTTTTGCTCTGTGTCAGCAGGCACTGATAGTTGCTAATTCAACTGTGTCCCCTTAGTTGCTCTGAACTAGCTATTGGACTTGGTGTTACTTATTCCTTTTCTCTTCCCTTTGGAAATGAATGTTGGCACTTAGTTCTGCGACTGCCCTTGTTCTGGTTGGTTTGTCAGGTGTTGGAGAACAGATTGCCAGAACACCAAGCATATGAGTGTATTCTCCCCTGGGGTAGTAGAGGCCGTGTAGTTGGAGCACTAAGAGGCTTTGATCAGCCCTGAACTGAGCCCATAGAAGCCGTAATAGCTTCATTCTGTGATTATGTGGACACTAGAAGCTGTTGCTGAGCATCAATATTTTAAGCAGGATGGTCCAGTCTCTACAGCAATAAGGGCTGGATTCCAGTTTGGAAATGCCTCTGAAGACCTGCGTTGATGTCAACAACTCCCAGCTACAGGTCTGCCCCTTTGCCCTTATGATGTGTCTGTC